ACATGCCTATGAAGCCATTTTGCCTTACACTTGATGAACAAAATCAGGCTTTCAATCCATTTCAGGTTGATTTTTACCGTGCTTAGAAAGTCTCGAATGTGGTGATAATAGACTCAAATTAAAGACAAGTTATAGTACTTCACATCTATGCTTATAAATTATGAAAAATTTATACTTTACACCTGAAAATAAGACTCGAACATGCCTATAGAAGTTTTGGTGTGGGCTGAGAATCGACGGTTCTCTCGTCCTGCAGGGCGTGAGGTACATGAACTATATCTCGAGAAATTGACAATTTCTCGTTTACCAGATCGCGGGTCTCATCCTGCAGGGCGCGAGGTATTATATCAGACTATTTAATGTGTCTACCTAGAAAGTCCAACCACGTAAGACTGGAAACACACCTTGGGGGCGCGAGGAAGGGAATCGTACTCTACAAAGCACGAGACCGCCCTACGTGGGCAGTTTGAGAAGGTTTTTTTTAAATAATGATCTTAGGGGGATATTTTTCTAAATAATTATTTAATAGGGGTTTTTAATATAAAATTGACTTAATCCTTTTTCCTTCCCACTTATTCCCAAAAGGCATTCAAAAGTTCTTACGAAAAAAAATAAAGGTTGGTTACAGTAATAAATTAAGTTTAGTCTTTTTATTAAAATTTTCTCTCATTTATATTTAATCCTTTTTTCCATCTCTTTATTTAAAAAAACAGTTTTATATTCTAATATATAATTTGATTTTGTCTTATTTATATCTAAATTATCATTATCATCTCATTTCATTTATTGTACGTATTGTAGACACGTGTTAGTACGAGCACGAGCATAGACTAAGTCACGATGTACATATGTGTGACATTATCTTCAATTACTTAATGAATAAATATTTAAAATATTATATTTAAACGTTTGAAATGTCCGTAAACGTGCATCGTCCTCTCTGCTTGACTCGTACTAACATCAATATTTTATATGTATCACGCATGTTTTATTTTTTTTTTGGACAAAATTCTTATTATTCTTCTTTTAGGAAACATCATTTTGTCTTCTTTTTTCCCCTTTCAACTTGGTCCTTCAATGCACAATTCTACTGCTACATTGATAAAGACGTTAAACATACTTTTAAAAGGGCAAAATTGTTCAAATTGGGTAATAGAAAAAAATATCTCCATATGTTGTACCTTTGAGATTATTCTCTCAAATAAGGTATTTTGAACATTAACACATGAAATACGCACAGAGCAGTAGGTGTCTTATGCATGGCATGGAAATACGCATGGAACAATGAATGTCTTCTACGAGGCTTGGGAAGGCACGGGTGTGCATCAGTCATAGGTTCATGGGGAAGACATTGTATTATCTTCCATGTGTCTTTATGAGGACGTTAAATAATTCGATCATCTTTCCTCATACATTATTCATTTTACCTTAGGTGAGAAAATAATTTCCCATGCATCATTAACGAGACATAATTTTTTACCACGTTAATGGACTGATTTTGCCCTTTTAAAAGGTTGGTATTATTTTGATGTCTAAATTAAAAAATAGTATATTTGAATAAAAATATGATAATTGATAGTTTAGTACTATAATAAAATAAAAAAAATACAATTTAAAAGTCAAAATAAGTCGATTTGAGAATAAAGTATACGTAATCCCTCCTTAGCCAACCAAACCTAAGAACCTCACCTTTGTGGCCATTTGTTAGGTTAAAAAGTTTAAAAGAGATTGTTGTGAAGAGCTAAAAACCATAGTCTTTATGATATGGTTAATAACATAACTTTTACTAACATGTGGTGTGGGTGTGAACATGTTTAAGGAGGGGGGAGGGGGGCATTTTGGGAAGTGATGAACTTCCATTTGTCAAAGTTGAACCACCCATGCATGATGGTGGTGGGGATTGGGGGAAAACCCCTCACCTGGCCCCTCCTTTATATGCTTAATGCTTCCAAAGAATTCCAGGGTTTTGGCCCCACTCTACTTGGCGGTCCTTCGCTATTCTTATTTGTTGGGGGTTAACTACACTATTCATTACTAAAATTTAAGTTCCGGCTCCTTTTCATCATTGATATATAAACTGTTTCAATTTTGCCATTAATTTTTTAATTGCTTTGGTTTTTCATTCAGTCGTTAAATTATTAAACGAGGTTGTTGTCTTTTTTGTTTTCTGCATAAAATTGTCAACTCCCTTTTCTCTTGACATTTGTAACAAGATCATTATTGAAATATTCACAAATATTTCTTATCTATGGTCCTTAAATTAGTTTGTTCACGAAATTCACTAAAAAATCAACATAAATTCATCTAAAGGAGTGGTTTTTAATCTTTTTTGACAATTGCTCGATGAGACTAGTTTTTAAATATATTATTTGTCTTCTCATAAAAAAAAACATCGGTAGAATTTTCAAATGAACAACGCCATACTCCTCAAATTCGAGAAAACTCCTAAACATCCCAAAAATACAGATTTATTTGGTTTAATTTAGTTATTTTAAAAGAAGTTTTAAGGAAAGCTAAATTGATAAAGTGATAGAAGACGATGAGATAATTCGTCGATGTCTATAATGATCACAAAACAAATCAAAGAATGATGGTTTCTGAAGGTGACTAAAAAAAACCCTAGGTGTTAATAAAGAAGACGAGGTGCAAAAAATAATGTCAACACCAAAAATGAATAAAATTATTTTTTATCTTTCACATCAAAACCAAAATGTAATATTATTTCCCTGTTAATGATCTAGTAAAAAACCAATTTGAAAAGTACAGTGGAAAATTAAAAATATTATAGTTTAGTGACAAAATGAGATAAGTCATAAAGCTTAGTGACTAATGGTGTAGTTTATTCTTTTCTATAATGAGAGAGAATGGGTTGTTAGAATCGAATTCGACATTCAATATCACTCGATACTTTATTATATCGAAACTCTTTTATCATTATATCACAAGTTCAGTTGAAACCAATTAGAAACAATATTGAAATAATAATAAATGGAATCAATAATTTTAATTATATAATTTAATTTCAAGTTGAATAACAATTACAATTAAAATCAATTATTATAATTATATAATTTTATAACTACCTTGACACTTAAATTATCTCAAATTATAACAAAATAAAATTACATATATATAATTTACATAAATAAAGTTGAAACCAAAGTACTTAAAACTCAAGAACTCAACATTTACCAAACATATAAAACCCCGTTCGTTAAAATATAAGGATAAATTTTATATTTAGTCACTCAACTATTACTTTAATTTCGTTTTGGTCACTCAATTATTTTAATATATATATATACTTTATATTATGTCTTGGTCACTTACCATTAAAAAATAAACTGAATTATTGGCATTATGTTTTTTTTCTTCTGATGTGACATTTTCTTTGAGACATGTCAGCATTAATATTAATTTTTAAACGACGAGTGATTAAAATATAGTTTTAAATATGATTTAAAACGATAATTAAACGGTAAAAACGAAATTAGAATGATAATTAGGTATGTAAATATTTACCCAAAATTTAATGTGAAATACTCATTTTTTATTTCATATTCATCTTTTAAAAACATATTATTTTTTAAACGATTTAGAATGACTCGATTTTCATGCTTTGGACCGTTGATCAATGTGAGCGAAAAATAAACAAATAAGAAGACCAAAATAATTTGCAATTTGGATATTCATCACTACCTTTGACCTTCAACGATCAGATAATTTAATATTTCTATGCTAAAAAAATCAAATAATCCTGTGGGCATGGAACCCACCACGTGTCATCACCCAGTGGGTCCAACCCTTAATTCCACGATCGGTAGATCACCGTAGATTACTTTCATCAAGATATTTAAAGAAGAAAAAATTGTCCCAAAAAAAAAGTATGCAGTCTTTTTAAAAAAACTGAAAGATGGTATTTTTTAAGTTTATAATAAAAAGTAGTTTCGATAAATCATATGGAATAATAAATACAATGTAGATAAGATATTGAGATAAATTTTAAATATCGGAAAACAATATATTATTTTTAAAATAAAAATAAGTAATTTAGTAAAAGAACAATAATTAAATCAATATCATATTATTATTTTATTTAATATTTAATGATTTTTTAAATTTATTTGTAATAGTATTTTACTTAATTTATTAAATTATAATTTTTAGAAGATTTAATGTAAAAATAAGTACATAAATTATACCTAAAATTAATTTTAGGTATCTAATTTTTTTGATGTTGTACTTTTAGATGTATTGATCATAATAGTTGTTAAAATTAAATGTTATCTAATACATGTTGTACTTGTATATATTTAATTTTAAAATAAAAAAAGTATTAAAAAAAACCCAAACCCCCGTACCTCCCCTCGTCAGCTGCATATCCTCCTGCCCCAGCCACAATTCCCCCTCATCCAGCGGTAATTTTCCCTCCCATTCTATCGTTTTTGACTCCTAAACCTTATATATTAACACCGACGAAGTTAACCCCACATTTGAGTTTTGAGTTTTAGGCATTTCAATAACGACGTTGGAAATAGAAGTAAGGGGTTTCGATCGACAATATTGGATAGATGGACGGTATTAGTGGAGGCCACAAAGTTAAGGGGGTTGACCTTATATATTTTAGGGATTTGAGTTTTTTTATAATTTTATAAAATTTTGAGGTTTTTAAAAAAATATAATTTTAAAACTTTAATTTAAATAAAATTTTAAAATTTAATAAGACTACATCTGCATTTAATAATAAATTTAAAAATCATTACAATTCATGCGCGTAAAAGTATAATGTTAAAAAAGTTAAACATTTTTTTTAACGTAAAATTATTTAAACACCTAAAATTGAATTTAAATTTAATTTAAGCACTTTATTTTTACATTAAATATTTTTAGAAATACACGACCATTTGTAACCAAATTAATAAGTGTGTGACTTGAGTGAATTTTACCTCTTTTTCCCTTTTCATCCTCTTTATAAAATTCAAAGCTTTTACTTTCTTTTCAGTTTCTCTCCTGTTAGGGTCATCTTTTTACGTGTTCTGTGCTTCCTAAAATAAAAATCGATGGCTGCTATTCATAAACATGAGGTTGAAGAGGACGGAGATAGCAGACCGGTTGTTCTCAGCATCAACGGCGGCGGGGAGGCGGCTGCAGCAGCGTCGAAGAATCCCAAAGAAGAGCCTGACATAGAGACAACTGTAAGCCTGATGCCCATGGCGGTGCACGTGCCGTCAGCTGTTCCTGTGCCTCCAGTAACGACAGCGCCCGCCGCGCCAAAACGAGCGTCAACAAAGGATCGTCACACGAAAGTCGAGGGACGTGGCCGGAGGATCCGAATTCCCGCTACTTGCGCGGCTCGGATCTTTCAACTGACACGAGAATTAGGACACAAGTCGGATGGAGAAACTATACGCTGGTTATTAGAGCACGCCGAACTGGCGATAATAGCGGCAACTGGAACCGGTACCGTTCCCGCCATCGCTATGTCGGTTAATGGGACCCTTAAAATTCCAACGAACGCTAATCCCGAACCCGGCGACCCTAGTAAAAAGAAGCACAAACGATCCGCTAATAGCGAAGTTGTTGACGTCAACGACACCGTTTCGGTTTCATCTGGTTTGGCTCCTGTAATTACTTCTCAACACCAACAGCAACAAGCTGTTCCGCCGCAGGGTTTGGTTCCAATTTGGGCCATACCATCAAGCGCCGTCGTTCCTGGCGCGTTCTTCATGGTACCACATATGGCATCCGTAGCCGGCCCATATACTCAGCCTCATATATTTACATTTCCGGCCACCGCTACACCGCTGATTAATATTTCGGGTCGTCCCATATCGTTGTTTGCCTCAGCCATGCAACACGGTGCAACAACAACGCCGAGTCAACTTCAAAGTAATGTAGCTGTCACGAGCTGTGTGGCTCCAGTTTCCAAGACGGCTAAAACGGTGTCGATTTTGGCACCGAGTTCGAGTTCGAGTTCCGCCGCTACCACTACTACAACGGCAACAACTCAGATGCTTAGAGACTTCTCGTTGGAGATTTACGATAAACAAGAGCTCCAGTTCATGAATCGATCTTCAAAGCATTGATTGAAAAACAATAAATTTTCTCTCTCTTTTTCCTTCCACTTGGGCTGACTGTTTTTGAGGTTTTTTTTTATCGGTGGCTTCGTTGTTGGTGCATCCGCCATGAACGAGAGCGAAGCTAGAGGAGGACCTGCTCAATTGAGGGTTTTTGGTTAAAGGTGCGCACGTGTAATGTGGGGTCAGATTAGGCGGGAGGGGTAGGGTCCACAAAATGTTAGTGTGGGTCAACACTGAAACTAAAAGAGCAGGGGGCAATCCGTGGACCGTGCATTGCAAAGAGGAAGTCATGCGTCGAACGGATCATTCTATCGAGTATCGAACAGTCCTGTCATGTGGGGCACGGGACCCAATAGAAAAAGAAAAAGAAAAAAGTGGACCCTACGGGACCCTTTTTGCAATGTTACCAAGGAGTAGCCGCGTGGTGGTCCCTACGGGTTAGTTCGGTGGTCCAAATCCGATCGAGAGAGATTGTGGGCCAAAAGTTTGGTCAGTCTGCAGTCGGGACACGTATCCGGGACGTACTGTTAACGGCGTTTTTTTTAAAATCTGACACGTGGGATCCTTTGTTGGTAGGGTCTACAAGATAACGCGATCATGAAAGAAGAAAAAGGAAAGAAAGAAGATTCGGGCAGTGGCATCAGATGCTCTTCTTCTCCTTCATATATATATTATGAAATTAAATTGTAAAATGTAAATACATGTTCTTGTTCAACTGACTTCGAGTTCCAAAAATAAACTAAAATTTTTAAAAATATATATACTCATCTTTTCAGGTGTGGTTCACGTAATTACGATTAAGTCTAAATATATTTTTTGAAGATCGAATGTACTTTTGAGGAAGATAGTTTTACTATAAAGTCATTTAACCACGCAAGAATCATCGGCTGAACCCGTACCCTTATCTCTCCAAATAATATCTATATGCAGATTTCACTCCAAGATCAAAGTTTAAATGAATGGCTTATCACAAATGATGCTTATATATGGCAAGACCATTAATAATTTCACATGTTTAATTATCGGCTCAACTAAGTTAATTCGCATGTTTTGTTACTATAATACATGCAATAATGTGTATAAATTATAGAAAGACAGGATATAAAATTGATACACAAGAACAGGCAAACCAACTAATTCTTCGCCTTTAAGAACCAACTAATAATGTGTATACTACATGAAATACTGTGTACTACACTACAAGTTTAGTATCACTTTTGTTTCGTTTTAGTCATTTAATTATTATTTTTAAATAATACATAACATTACGTTTTGGTTTTATTTTGATCACTTACCGTTAAAAATTAACAGTGATGCTAACGTGACACTGTAAAATAATGTCACATCATCATTGAAAAAAATACAACGTCAGTAGTTATGTTAGCGGTGAGTTACTAAAATGAAATCAAACCATAAGGTATGATTTTAAAACAAAAAATAGTTGAATGACCAAGAAAGAACAAAAGTGATAGTTGATATACTAAATACGTAGTTTACCAAAAAAAAAAGATAGAATCACAGTTTTGCTTTGATATTGTTCAGCATGTGATCAACGGTTGTAAAATAATAACAATAAATCAATAAAAAAAGGAGGTGGGTCCTATGGTGACTGGTACAGAGATAAAATGGGCGGTTCCGTCTTTGGTTTTGTGTGCTACAAATGCAATGAACTGGGTGCGGTCCACTCTAGAAAGACAGGCTGGATTTCAGGCAATGCTAAGTCCACGTGTACGGTTGATATCATAGTTTGATCAAGTTTCTATGCGGTCCCCCACAATTATAGCCGTGTCATATTTAATCTCAAAAAACCACGAACCACGAACCACGGATAATGGGCCTAATACCGCCGAAATAAATTGTAATAACCAACTTGTTAAACCAAATTTTTCTCTAATTTAATAAGAGATAATTGTATATACTGTACTTAAATTATAATCTCTAATTTAAATTGATTTTTAAAATTTTAAATTTTTTATATCACTAATAAAACTACGACTTCCATGCTAATTTGACCTCTAAAATTTAAAATATTTTGCATAAATTCTCAAATTACTTATATCATTTCATTTTGCTAACGCGTCGTTAATTTACTGGTTAAAATTTTAGAACGGTGATATAGTTTAGAAAAGCTTCGATTTAATGATAAATAAAACATCTGGAAACTTTAGTTTATTAGGTTTAATACTTGTAATAATTGATTCAAATTAAAATTATCTATACAATTGCTCGATTGATTTAAATGAAAAAAAAATATTTTGAAAGAAAAATAAGAAGAAAGAAGAATGATCAGTTTTCTATTTGAACTATGAATATAGGCAAGTACAAAAATTTGCTTTGTACAATGTAAAAATGAGCAGTTAAAAATCTATACAATAAAAAGGGCTTTTAAACCTATAATAAATGTATATATTTCATGCACACTTTCAAAATTGTATTTGAATTGTATTTGAATCGTATTGTATGTAGTGGCAGCAGGTTAGGTTAAATTGTAAGGTTTTCTTGTATGCCAAGAAATGAGCCACAAATGTTTCCCCCAAGTTTCACATCCAGGAAGGGGCTTGATCTTACCCCTGACATCCACTTCCTCCGACGCAAATTGTTTCCAGTTAAGCTTACCCATTTGAACAATCCGTCTTACGCAGTCGATACTCTCCGGGTGAGTGAAGCAGTCCTATACCCATATATCTATAATAAACAGCATAGAGTTAATGATACTCGGGGGGGGGGGGGGAGAAGTGAGACATCTTATATTTGTGTTTCTAGGATCATAGGTTCATTTAATAAACAAGCAAATTATATCATTAATACGGATGTAACCGAGAAGTTACCTGTACGAGTGGACTAGAATGTTTTGCTGCCCAGGAATATTGAGGTTGGTAAGCTCCCATTGCGATCTCGGTATCTCTGGTACCCTCCATGGAGCGTTGATTGATGTTTGCAGACCCTACTATTTTGTACTCATCATCAACTATCATACCTTTTGAATGGACATAGATAATAAATCGTTGACTTTTCCGGCTTAGAGACTGGAATGCAAAAACCAGGAACATATATATTAACAGTTTAGGAACTTTTGGGGTAAGGTTTGAGGGTCTTAGACTACCATGACATTTCCCAAGATTTGAACTACTAAAATATTGTTTTTGGAACATGGTATAGAGTACCTCCTGAGTGTTTACGGACCTCGGACTTTCATTGCCTGGAGGTTGATATCCATCATTCTCGCGATTGGCGAGACAGAAGAAATTCAAATAGTCCTCTGGCGAGTAAATACCATCAAGTCCAACCACCACTAAAGCCCTGTAAATAGTCTCGTACATCATTTCCCTAGTTTTGAGCTGCGACAATAGTAACAGTTAAAGATCAAGGGCCTTTCAGTATCTAGTTTAAAGATCATAGTTCTTCAGTTAATGCAAAAAGATAATGATTATCAGAAAATCTAATGCCAAAGCAGTATAAACAGGTCTTAATGCTCGAATTGAACCGAGCTAAAACATCAGTGTCATGAATAAGCTTCTGTAGGATAATGCAATCTCTGCTGCAGTGAGATGGAAACAAGGAACCGCCTCTTCATTGAATGTCAGTTCTCTAAGAGTATTTGCAGAAATATATTGAGGGTGTGCAGGATTAATTGTGTTGTCTTCAATTCGGAACAGAAGCTGCTCTGGGCTTGCACAAGACTAAAGGGTAAAGATTTAAGCACTACCATCCTAAAGCTTGCATGGAGTGCGAAGAATGTTACAGAAGACGATTCAGAGGGCAGCATAGGACTAAGAATGAGCATTCCGTCAAGGGAATAGTAAAGATTATACTAAGTGGGAAAAGTATTGACAAAACTGATAGTGTGAATTTTTATTTGTGTACGGTTTGGAGCATACTTGATTAGAAGGGTTTAGGGGTGAATTGATAATAGAGATGAATTAGACACACTCTGGTTTGTGTAATTGTAGCAGAATTCTACTTTTTTGGATAATACAACTAAACACTTGTCCAGAAGAAAAAAAAGCTTATGTGGTACTTGCTCCAGAGCAGACATCTCGATGAATTTTCGAAAAAAATAACGATGCTATGGTCAAACATTTGTGACTAAAGCCAAGATTAAGTAGCAAAATTACCTGAACATGCCAACCTTCAGGATCACTCTCAGAATAGGTAAAATCAGTAACTCCCAGAATGTCTGGAATTCTTTCCATCCTCAGCAAAGCATCATCAAAGGGTTTCTTTAATTTTTTAAGTCCATGAGTCTTGGCCGACTTCAACCACCGTTCCTCAAAGTTGACCAGAACATCATATGCAGCTGGGCCATCAATTTTACTGTGCATATCATGCCAAACTTCTCTTGGACAACCTTCTGTAGAATTCTGCTCAAGTAATTTGCAATTAAATAATGAGCAGGAAATCTTATTTACTGTGATGAATTACCATTAAACTTGCAGCTACCCCAATGTCATAAAACGAAAGAAAAGAATGGCAAGTAGTTACCGTATATGTTGGATTATGATAGTGACCCTTATGTAATGTTTGCAGTGACCAAAATAGAGGATCCAAATAATATTCTGCCAGGAAACAAGAGGTCTTTTTTCACGAATAGAATCCCAAATAGATCTCATTGTCACAGCACCATTAGTCAAAATGGGGTAAGCCTCCGATCGCAGTTTAAGGAGTTTCCTAACACTCCAGCTTAGAGATGGACGGATGTTAACAGTCCATAGGTCCGTATCTTTGAGGACATAGCATTTAATCCATGCCACCCAAAGTGAACCTTCACCTGCTAGGATATTTTTAATGAGTAGGAGCATGCAAGCTTTGTTCCAAGTTTTTATGTCTTTGATTCCAAGGCCTCCCTCAGATAGACTTCCTACAAAGGAAAGACTTCACCGTATGGGACTGATTAACGACTGCAAATGTGTTTTTTGTGACAAACATACTGAAACAAGGGATCGCCTAATCCTTCAATGTTCTATGGCAGATTTCATCTGGAAATCTGTTTTCTCTATTTCTGGCATTCAGTTTTTTCCAAGTACATGGAATTCTTTTTGTGCATGGGCAACTTCTTCTTGGAAAGGAAAATCTCTGCTCACTTCAATTTTGAAGATAGCTCTCAACGCTACTATCTATTTTCTGTGGGATGAAAGAAACAAGAGACTGTTTCAAAGCCGGTCTAAGAATGCTCAAGAACTGTTTCAAACCATAAGGGATATAGTCAGGCTACACTTAAGGAATAGGAACTTTAATAGAAATGACAATGTTAATATTACTCTTGTAAGGAATTGGGATATATGTGATCTTTGATTTTCTTTGTAAGTAGGTTGCTCCCTGTATTCCAGTATTTCAGTTACTGATTTTGTATTCTGTTACTGTAGCAATTTGTTATTTGGGTAATAAAATTTTAAATTATCCAAAAAAAAATAGAGGATGATGTGGATCATCATATCGTCCATCACATAAGTAAATGCCACCAACAAAAGCAATAATTTTTCTGTAGTTTTTCCCAGCATCAACATCCACAATAACAGTTTTCTGATGGTGTGTATAAATTGTTCCCACTTCCTGATAATTGATGGCATCAGAAAAACATAGTGCTTTATCCAAAGAACAGGATAACATATAACAAAAAAGGCTGGTGATAATTTAGGGATGACTTAGTGTTTGCTAAGGTCCAAGGTTCCAATCCCTCGGACTTCCTAATATTTACCAGCTACCGATAAAAAAAAAACTGATAACAAGAAGTTCAGAAGACATAAAACTAATCAAGTATTTGATATTTGACAGTCCTAAGAGAAATTGAGAATCCATTAAAAACGTAAACAAACAAAAACTCAGGAAAATTATGACGGATAAGGGCATTTACCATCAAACTTAGAAAACAAAACTCAGTCCTATTCAAATGAAAAAACAAGAGCATGAAGCAGAAGGGCTCTGATTATTTTCGGAAGGTTAATCACCATCATGGTATAAATACAAAAAAGTAATCAGCAATTGGTCTATGGATCCAAAGGTTGAAAATACTACTTCAGGCTGTCCCAAAGCTAGCTTTTTTTTTTCTTATTGCCAAACATCCTGTCAGCATGTGGTTGGTAGTAATTTGCAAAATGCAACCACCACATGTTACAAGAATAGCGCAAACTGTGACTTGAAAATCTTAGTAATGCTGATAAAAAATTCCCAACAAAAAACAATATAGCAGTAATATCTACTGATGCCAAATTGAATCCAAATTGATGAGGAAAAATTCGAAGAGTTAGAAATGCATTTATGGGATAGAATCATTAACCTTTTGCTTGACCCAGCCACACGAGGACAAAGTAACACATGCACAGAAGAGTTTTGAAAAAACTACGTGTTTCCTCATCATGGGTTGCCATTATTCCATCCTGTATTTGTCAATTTAGAGAGGTTAATTAAAATCCATGATAAGCAAAGCTTTCTAAAGGTTAAAAGGTGATTTAATTCCTATCATCATAAACAAGTTTGCACACACAAACTGGACAAAGTTCGCATACTCTCATTGTCATCATTCATATGCACATTTCATTTTCTCCATTAACCAGATCTGCACAATGATCGCCATATATTTCTATTGTCATTAGCTTTAAACCCTGAAGCTATAATGTACAAGAAAAATGTAATAATAAGTTACCATTTTGTATCCCAAGATGCTTCTCGAAGTAGGATCATCCCATAGCTGAAGTAGCACTCTAACTCCTTCCTGAGACTTCGACCTAAGAATATACCCCAAAGAGCAATCTGAAACAGGACCAGCATTGCGTACCAGCCTAACTTTGTGCCAAACTGACCACTCTGTAATGTAAATCAAGCGCCTAGCTTGACGGATAGCATCAAATATGTCACGCCAGCACTTTCCGTGCACATAGGTCATCCCATGATCAAGTTTCATGGTTGGAAGAATCCCATCAGGTACATGGGCATCTTGTTAAAGAGTCACTTTTACCCCCTTCCGAAGAGGAAAATATGTTCCGGGAACTCCCACATAATTAGGACCTGCTCCAACACCATGATGATAGATGCTCAAATTTTCCATTGGTGTGTACTGAATTGATAATCGTAAGACTGCTCCAGGCTTACAGGGCTTTCCCTTATCATTCAGAACTGGACAGCTTCCCTCAAATTTTCCCGTCGAGTATATCTGCTCAACTGGAATCGCTACAACTCCTATAATTTCTGACCCCAATACATCACTGTCTTTAACAACGAATTGCACTTCAGCAGCATGATGTGCAATATGAACATTGAAATTTTGCATACAGACAGGATTTTCATCATTGTTGATCACATATGTCCTTCCTATAACGGCACAGAAATGGCTATTGTGACATAAGGATCACTTGTATTCTTCCCATCCCCTTTTCCTCCAAAATTTTTGGAGATATTTGAAGAAAAGTTCCCAAACATATCACCTAAAGTCTTATGAACATATCCATGTTGGGAACATTTTTTTGCCTCAAAAACCCACATATCTAAATTTCCATGTAGAAGCAAAACTCTCAATGAACCTGTATGGAAAGATAAAATCTGCATACTGTTTCCATTTTGTGAATCGTTGCGTTGAAAGGCAGGTTGATTAGCCGAATCAGCTCGGCCTAAACTAGGCCCTTCCCAGATTTCAGATTTACTTGCATAAAGTGAACCATCCAGCTCAGGTGTTGAAGTAGAAGCGGCTGCTGGAAGCACTGAAGGTGCCGAGGGTGATGCAGGAGCAGAACGATGACTACCAGACAAATGCATATTACTTGATGATCCAAAGGTGGATAAGCCATAGCAACAGGTGGGGCACTACACATATTTGTTCCTAAGGAACTTGTACTAGCCTGCCTGTTATGTCCAGAAAAGCTGTTCTGTCTTGAGTGGAGCTCGGAATTACTTATAGGAGGAGGATATTGCGCAGGTTGTTGATAAGAGGCGGATGATTGTGGACAACTTTCAGGTGGCGGGTAGTGACCAGATAGGGAATGCTGGTAAGGGTAAGGAGATGAACCATAGTGGAAAATAGCAGGATGTTGGGGAGTAGGGTGTGCGTATTGATAAGGAAATGGTCCAGGATGAGGATGAGAATGAGAATGCCTATAGTCTATGGGAGCTGAACCAGAAGCGTAGCCTGGGGGAAGATACATATGAGGTGCATGAGGGTATTGGGGATTGTAAGGATATGGATACGGAGGATACGGATGCTGATGCGCATATGGATCTTGATTTGGAGGAGAGTATACATGATGATAAGGGTATGGATTTTGGTGTGGATTATTATCCATATCTTACCAAATTACTCTTCTTTTACAATGGAATCAAATAAAGTGAATAACAGGAAAAAAACAACAGCGAAACTTTGTTCTTCATACACATAACAAAATCTGAAGAACAAAAAAACACAAACTCGGCTGTGTTTTCAGTTTCAAACTTTCAATGGAGAATTCAATTGTAAATTTGTAATGTACTACAAATAAAACTGAAAAGAGCAAACACCCGAGAATTCATTGGAACAAAAAAACATAAACGAAAATAAAAATCTCAAAAAAAGAAAGAAATGATTCAGCTAAGGTTCCGAGTGAAAAAGGACAGAGAAAGAGGCTTACCAATTGGAATGTTTCTTTTATCACTGAAGAAGATGAATGATCCAGGAAAGAGATAGCAATCGAAGAAAAGGGGGAATTTGAAACAAGTGATTTAGGCAAGAAATTACCTCTTTGGCATTCACAAAAGCGCGTGTCGATCAAGAAACCAAACATTGCCAAATTCGTATTTAAATCTGCCGCCAAACTACCGTTGGCCGGCAGTTTGTTCAACTGTAATTCGAACCCTCGTGGCAAGGAATTACCGATCTTCTTATTTCATATAATTCAAAAATAAATTATTATTTTTGTAACATATTTTAAAAATATCCGATAAAATAATCTAAATTCAATTATTATTCTAAAAATCATCATTACATGTAATACATTTTTATTTTTTCATTATCAATGTATTAAATATTTTAAAAAAAATAATTTTCTAATTATTTAGAAACATTTATCAAATCTATATTCAAATCAAACATATATCGACATGGCACTTACATACATACACAACTATTTAAATCTATTTTTTCTTAAATATTTTTTTACAACTGAAACTATTTCCGTATAATTATATAATTACACTTGAAAATAAAATATTTTAGTAAACTCAATCCAATATATAATATAGACGATTACTGATATTAGTCTTGGAGACTGTAAATAACAATAGGACTTCTCACAGCGTGGCCAGTGCTTTTCCAAACAAGCGAAGCTGATAGCACCGTGAATGCTGCGCTCGCCGCCGGTTTTGCCGTCACCACCACCTTAAAACTACGTTTCTGCAAGCTACGAGTGAAGATGAGGCTTTTGGGGTTAACCGTGATTACCACTCCTTTGGGGGCTTTAATGGTGGAATTATACACAGATGGAGGACCTACATTGGTTACCCTTCTCGTGAAAACACCTACAGTTTTCCGTTTGCCCTTGATCATGTTAAGCTGCATCGATGGGTAGTTAAGGGCATCGTATCCGAACCCCGGAAGCATCGATGAACAGTTTACGGACTTTTTGCCTATTAAATGAGCTATAGATGGTCCACTGTAGCCTTCATGACATAGGAACTGTATGTAAGTCATCTCGTCCATGTCGTAGATGAGTCCAGGGTTTATGGCTCTGGTAGGATTTAATTGGCCAGCACCATAGGCGAATTCGGCATCCTTGTTCACCCTCGGGCTCATCGGTTTTGCTTTCGTAGATCATTACAAAGACGTGTAAGATATGATACATATTGAAATGATTGAGGGGTCTATGTTGTATCCTTTACCTGTGGTCATGATTGCAGATTTGATTGCGGCCGGTGTCCATGTAGGGTGAAATGATTTCACATAGGCAGCTACACCGGCAACATGCGGGGCGGCCATGGATGTACCGGACATGAGAGTGAACTTTGAATGCTGGTTGTCCCCTTTTAACCCAGTGAGTGAGTTCATAAGAGTGTAGGCTGCCAAGATGTCCACACCAGGGGCTGCAATATCAGGCTGTATATATATATATATATATATATATATAATATGTATCATGGTACGGCAGAGACAATAAGTTTAAGAAACAATTAAAGGCAGAAATTCGAAGGTTTTATACCTTGAGAACATGTTGCGAGCCTGCGTTTGGACCCCTAGATGAAAATGAAGCAACAAATGGAGCTGAAACTTTAACTTCATGTGACTTGTATATCACTGCTGAAGGTGATCCGGTGGAATGTATATATTTATCTACAGTTTCTCCAACAGTCATGTTCACCATGGTGGCTGGTGCCATAAAAATTAGAGCAGTATCAAGGTATTTCTCGCTTTCGAGTACAATGCCGACTCCTCCGATTCCTTTAACGATAGAATCAGCACCCAACTCGCCTAGCAAGCAGTAAACAATCCTTCCTTTTACCTTCGCAGGGTTCAATGTGTTGTCATAACAGAACCTGGAATTACATTTTACGTTGTCAAATTACATTTAAAATTGAGACCCACCACCATGTACGGTTGATATCGATCACCGAACAATGTACTACCTTGCTAATTCCTTGCTTTCTGCATTGATGGCAACATCAGCCCCACTGACAATGGGGTAAAATGTTTCCTTTGATCCAAACGTGTTAATTCCAATTCCCTGTTTATCAATGCAGTTAGATTCCAAGCATTCAACGACAACAATCTTCTGCATATCGAACTTACCAATAAACTTTTCCCATTTCCCAACTTGACTGCACTTCTAAACTGTCTATTGATCCCGCTGGCTGCCACGGTAAGAAGCCATGGGGAATAGTTAGACACAGAGCCCAAGCTCGGACCTTCATTACCACCAGAAGCTACCGTGATAATTCCCTTCTTCAAGGCATGGAATGCACCAACTGATATAGAATCCGTGGCGAAATCCTCGGTCGCTCCGCCTATGGATATCGATATAACATCGACACCGTCACTTATAGCATCATCCATTGCGGCGAGGATGTCCATATCGGCACATCCCGAGCTGACCCAGCACACTTTGTATGTGGCTATCCTAGCCGATGGGACCGCACCACGAGCTGTGCCATTGGCTAGCCCATAAAGGCTGGCGTTCGGGACAAGGTTGCCTGCTAACGTGGATGATGTGTGTGTGCCGTGGCCATCCACGTCTACCGGCGATAGAATGTCCGCTGGGTCAGGGTTGCCGTCGAGCTTGAAGTACTTTGCCCCTACAACCTTGCTATTGAGCTCAATGAAGGCGGTCCAAGAACAAGAATGATCAACATTAAAATCTAGAATAAAGAATTAATTAACGCGGTCTATTAATTACTGAAGCTGACCGGAAACATTGAATTCTCACATTTTAAACAGACATTACTTGCTATTCAAGAAATTAATTCCTAAGTATTTTAGTTAATTCAGTCCTGCAAATTCCCCACAATTTTACCGAAAATGGTATTTTCTATGTATTTGACGAGTGCTATTATAAGATTAAAAACGCATGGATATTACTTGTTGCATCCCGAGAAATTTCGAAAATGGTGGCATGTTCCTTTCCATTTATGGGGTGGAGGACCAAATCCATCATCCTTGAAGCTGTCTGACTGTGGAGTGATCCCTGGAAATGGAAGAACATCATATTAGTAACAAAAAGGCATTAATGCTGAATCTACTTAGAGCGTTCCATCAACCTGTATCAAGCAGACCCACAATTACGTCTCTCTCAAGCTTCAAATGTCTTTTAGCTGTTTGAGGAAATCCAATGAAGTCCCATGATTTTGTTGTGTGTAGCTTGTGATATCGATTTGGAAACACAGAAACCACTTCATCCAGTTCTGAACATTCCAAAACCAAGTTAAGCAAATCTTGTAGAAGTCTGGGAAAAACGACAGTTGAATGAAAATTTCATGTACCCATTAACTTTTGAGCTTCATCTTTGGATAGCTTTGCAGCAAAGGCATTGAAGCTCTTCGTGTAGCTATAAACCATGGAGTCTTTAGCATTATGTTCACTGTTCAAAACAACAAAACAACAAAATCACACATACATACATACATACTTACATATTAATGTATAGGTGATTAAGCTTAAGCTAACCTAGGCTTGACAGAGGAGAGAAGGCTCAAGTGCTTACGAACTGCGGAGCCTTTGCTCAAAGGACCATCTCCCACGTAAACAATGTAAAAGTTCTGTCATATTAAACACTTGTAGAGTTAGTTTTACAAATTGATGATCAATTGTGAAAATATAAAGGAGAATGCACCTTTGTTTCTTCTGATGATGATGAAACAGTAACCAGGAGGAGGAGGAGGAGAAGAAGTTGATGGGCTTTTGCCATGATTGGCTGTGGTTTCGTCAAGCTTTAGCGATGGATTTATATGAGTAGCGACATTTAAGGCAATTTGACAGGTTTAGCTGGACTGACAAACAATATCAAACAATGCCTAAAATGGATGAGAATCAACAAAAGTGTACCGCACTTCTTCAAACTTAATACAATTCTAGGAGGGCTATAGATTGGGGAGTCTTAAAGAAAGACAAATGAAATCCTGATTCCAATATATGGACTACTCAGTGTTAATTTAGATATATCTATTTTCAGGTGAATAAAACGTGATTCGATTTGAAAATATCAACTTTTAATTTCAAGTTATTATTTGTTTGAGTTAACTCTAATTTTTAGTTCAGATTTCGAATCAAGTTTGAATATCCAAATTTCAAATAATCAAAAATCGAAAAATTAAAACGAATCTTTTTTTTATATTTACCTAAGTATTTTGATTGTTTTGTATTTCGGTTCATGATTTTCAACATTTCTTCAATTAATCTTTTGTTTTAAGTTTTTTTTTATCGAATTTTAATCATATGTTCATGAACTATTATGTAATAGATATCTAACTTCAATTCCTTTTTTTATAATAATTTTTTCTCGTTTTGTAATTTAATTTATCAACTTTGTGTTTTATTCATTTAATCCTTCGACTATTAACACTTTTCAAATCCTTTTTAATCATCAAATTACTTTACTTCTTTAATATCTCTATCAGTAATTTATCCTCAAAATTTATTATTTTAAAAAACAACATTATAATATATAAATGGTTTTAGAGAGTCATTTAAATTGAAAAAAATTAGTATCATAACATTATAAATAATTACATTTGAATCTAAACAGAAACTCAAATAAAGATATTCGACTCGAATTTGATTTGATTCAAACAATTTTCAAGTATAGTTCAGATGACAAAATGATACTTGTAAATTTGACTAATTCGACTGTTTTTTATTTGACCGGATCAAATATTTATCCCTATTTACATTTTTTTGGTTGTATGTAATTTTTAAAAATAAATAATACATTTCGACCGGACTATAATGCGATTACATGAATCGATTTGAGTTCATGGTTTATTTTCAATAAACCTGAAGAAGTTTTCTTTTTTTATTATTAAAATAAACCTGAAGAAGTTACTTGTAAACAAAGGACCCCTTTTGCCTTAATTTCCAATTCAAGCAATTAAAGCGTTCAAAATCGAATAAAATTAATGGAATTGAAAGTAGCTTTAAGCTTGTTCTAAAGACTATATTTAACTCCACATTACTCTACTTTTATATTGTAATGTTTAAGCTAATATTGTATCAGTAAATATATATTTAAGACATTTATTGCATGCTTGATTTTTTTTATCAATTTATTCTATTATCATAATTTTATCCTAATAATTTAAATTATATATGAACAAATTTATTTAATTGAATCGTTACTTCGATAGCATTAAATGACACGGTCTGCACATCAGTGTCACGTTCGACTGAGAAATTCATATGAGCAACGTTCTCATAGATTGCGAAATTTGGAACCGAAGTGAAAGTAAAGCAAGCAATTGTTTTGGAAACCAAGACGAAGGCGTTCAATGGCTGCAAATTGACATCTGCACCGGTGAAATGAATTGTAATATCTGGCATTGGAAACTCCGTTTTAGCTTTGTAACATAAACTCGATCCCATGGGCCCTGAACTCTCGTCGCATCGATTATGGTAGACTATAAAGATTCGAGTTTCGTGTAAAAATCGATGAGTGAGAATATTCATATCTATTTGACTTGTAAGCTTACGAATAATCATTATACTCCAGACAGGACATGGACACCAACACCACAATATGAAAGAAACACCGTTGCCTAAGAGGCCAATGATGTAGGAGGTATCCTCGTCGTAACTTCAAGTTCCATAATATGTTTGGAACTATAACAGGGCGGCCCGTGCGGTTGAATCCAGGGTGAGTGTATCAGCTGCAACTTGACCGTTCCAGAAAAATCCATCACTATAAGAGACTTAATACTGTCAGAATTGTTACTCGAACAAGATGGTCCTTCAAGTTTGGCACATTGAGTAGTGCTGCAAGAAATCGTTTTATATTTGAATGACGCGGTCAGGTCGAAAGAGGTGTTTTTTGCTTGAAACACTAAGAACAAGGCTTGCTTTGAGTCCAAATTGTTAAGTATGAGTTGCAAATAAGCAAATTGGCAAGTTGACAAGTTGGCAAGTTGAAGGCTTGCAATCCAACTTGTGCACATGGGATATTCATCCTTGGTTAGTAAGTTGCCAACTTGAGAACATGGGATAATTCATCCTAGGTTGGCAAGTTGACAAGTTGTGCAAGTGACCAACTTGTGCACATGGGATAATTCATCTTTGGTCCCTAAACTATTAGGTTATTTGTAAGTTTAGTCCTTAAAACTCAACTATAAATAGGCCTAAGTGTTTCCATTAGAAATCATCCTAAAACAAGTTATATCTTCAATTTGTTTTCTTCATTCTCTCACTTTGGGAATTCTAAATAATTCCATTGTTGTAATATTGGCGATATAGTAAAGTTATCATCTGGTGTGGTGCCCGAGGAGTAGACGATATTTTCATTGAACCTCATAAATTTGGTGTGTTCTCTCCTTTATTGTTCTTTATTCGGTTTTTCCATTGTGTTTCAATATTCAATAGTTTGACGGGTTTATCCGTTGTGTAACCTTTGGTGTTTTAATCTTGATATTTCAAATCAATTTTGAAAATACATTCGAATGGGAAATAACACGGTTTTCCCAGTAATTGGTATCTAGAGCTTTAGTTGAGGTTATCATGGTGGTACCGTTGCTGAAAAGATACAGTTCGTGCTATTGAATATTGTTTGTTAAAATTAAAATGACAAAATACATATCAGTTGAGACATCAAGCTCTTCATCTGGACCGGCGAGGAGGGTGATGTCAAATGTAAACTTCTTGGTGGAGTTGTTCGAAGGATCCAGTCATTTTGGCATGTGACAAGGTGAGGTGTTAGACGCTTTATTCCAATAAGGTCTAGACATTTCCATTGAGGAAGAAAAGCCGTAGATATGGAGGAGAAATAATGGGGAACAATCAATCATTTGTTGTGCATCACGATTTGATCTTGTCTTTACAAGGAGCAGAAATATATGGAAAGCATTGGAGGAAAAATTCCTAAAGAAAAGCTCTCAGAATCGTCTCCACATGAAGAAAAGATTGATCAGATTTGATTATCAACCAGGCACCAGTATGAATGAACACATCACTGCGTTCAATGAGCTAGTGGAAGACTTATTGGGCATGGATGAAACCTTCAAAGATGAAGATTTGAATTTGATATTGTTGTCATCTCTAGATGAATTTGAGCACCTTGAGACAACATTGCTTTATGGTAAGGATAATGTTACCCTTAAAGATGTAACTACTGCTTTGTATAGTTATGAGCTCTGGAAGAAAACCAAGAAGGAGAACAAGTATGAAGCAGCGGATGCCATAGTGGCAAGAGGTCGCTCGAAAAATCAAAAGCCAAAGAGGAGAGGGAGATCAAAGTCGAAGTCCAGACTGGGAAAAGATGAATGTGTCGTTTGTCATGAAAAAGACCATTGGAAGAAAGATTGTCCGAAGCTGAAGAAGAAAGGAAAAGCTGCTCCATATGCATGTGTTGCAGAGCATGATGCCAATGACTCTGACATATCATTAGTTGCTTAATCATCAACATTTCATTCAGATGAGTGGATATTAGATTCGGGTTGTACCTATCATATGTCCCCTAATCGGGAGTGGTTCTCCGATTTAGTATAACTAAATGCATGAGTTGTTTATATGGGCAATGAAAATGAATATAAAACTGTTGGGATAGGTTCAATTCGATTGAAGAATCAATATGGATCAACCAGAGTTCTGACTGATGTTCGATACGTGCCCAGTTTGAAGAAAAATCTCATCTCCTTGGGAGTCTTGGAATCCAAAGGCTCAGTAGTCACTATGAGAGATGGCGTTTTAAAAGTCGCATCTGGCGCACTTGTGATAATGAAGGGCATCAGGAAAAATAATTTTTATTACTACCAAGGTAGTACAATTATTGAAGCAGTTGCAGCAGCTTCTGGAGGCGATGATTTGGACACAACCCAGTTATGGCATATGCGTTTGGGACATGCAGGAGATAAATCCTTGCAAATTTTGGCAAAGAGAGAATTGTTGAAAGGTGCAAAGGCTTGCAAATTGAACTTTTGCGAGCACTGTGTTTTGGAAAGCATAAGAGAGTGAAGTTTGGCACCACTATACATAATATAAAAGGTATTATGGATTATATTCTCTCAGATGTATGGGGTCCTTCAAAGACACCGTCTTTGGGAGGAAACCATTATTTTGTAACTTTTGTATATGACTTTTCCAGAAGAGTTTGGGTGTATCCGATGAAGTCTAAATATGAAGTGCTATGAATTTTCCTTAAATGCAAAAATATGATTGAGAACCAAACTGGTAGAAAGATCAAACGTCTTAGGACGGACAATGGAGGGGAATATAAAAGTGACCCATTCTTTGACGTTTGCCATGAGTATGGTATTGTTCGACACTTAACCGTTAGAAATACACCACAACAGAATGGGGTGACAGAGCGTATGAATCGAACACTATTGGAGAAAGTTCAATGTATGTTGTCTAATACAGGGTTAGGTAAGTCATTTTGGGCTGAGGCTGTGACATACGCTGGCCATCTCATCAATCGTCTACCGTCATCAGCGATAGGAGGAAAAACTCCATTGGAGGTATGGTCTAGAAAATATGCTACTGATTATGATTTCTTACATTTATCTGCTTATTATCATGTGAAGGAATCCAAGCTTGATCCGAGAGGAAAAAAGGCTCTCTTTATGGGAATCACTCATGAAGTGAAGGGATTCCGCCTTTGGTGTTTAGACACCAAGAAGATATTTTGTAGCAGATATGTTACTTTTGATGAATCTGCCCTAGTAAATAATGTAACAAATAAAGCTGTCCAGACAAGTAGTACTCCGC